CCTGCCTGTCTGTCTGTCTGTCTGCCTGCCTACCTCTGTCTCTCTGTCTGCCTGTCTGTCTGTCTGCCTGCCTCCCTGCCTGTCTGTCTATCCGTCCATCCGTCCGTCTGTCTGCCTGTCTGTCTATCCATCCATCCATCCATCCATCCATCCGTCTGTCTGTCCGTCTGCCTGTCTGTCTGCCTGCCTGTCTGTCTATCCGTCCATCCGTCCGTCTGTCTGCCTGTCTGTCTATCCATCCATCCATCCGTCTGTCCGTCCGTCTGTCTGTCCGTCTGCCTGTCTGTCTGTCTGCCTGCCTGTCTGTCTATCTATCTGTCTGTCTGTCTGTCTGTCTGCCTGCCTGTCTGTCTATCCGTCCATCCGTCTGCCTGTCTGTCTGTCTGCCTATCCATCCATCTGTCCGTCCGTCCGTCCATCCGTCTGTCTGTCTGTCTGCCTGCCTGTCTGTCTATCTAACTATCTGCCTGTCTGTCTGTCTGTCTGTCTGTCTATCTGACTGTCTGCCTGTCTGTCCGTCCGTCTGTCTGTCCGTCTGTCTGTCTTTTTGTCTATCTATCTATCTGTCTGTCTATCTAACTATCTGCCTGTCTGTCTGTCTGTCTGTCCGTCCGTCTGTCTTTTTGTCTATCTATCTATCTATCTATCTATCTATCTGTCTGTCTGTCTGTCTGTCTGTCTGTCTGTCTGTCTGTCTGCCTGCCTGTCTGTCTATCTAACTATCTGCCTGTCTGTCTGTCTGTCTGTCTGTCTGTCTGTCTGTCTGTCTATCCATCCATCCGTCTGTCTGCCTATCTATCTGTCTGTCTGTCTGTCTGTCTGTCTGTCTGTCTATCCATCCATCTATCCGTCCATCCGTCTGTCTGCCTGTCTGTCTGTCTGTCTATCCATCCTGTCTATCCATCCATATCTAACTATCTGTCTGTCCGTCCGTCTGTCTGTCTGTCTTTTTGTCTATCTATCTATCTATCTATCTGTCTGTCTGTCTGTCTGTCCATCTATAAATGTCTAAGTGGCATTGCATTAGATAAATTATTAAAGCAAGTGCATTTTAATGCAATATTTATACATTATAATTATATTAAAAATTAATGCAAGTGGCATTGTTTTAAAGAAAGATAGCAAAACATTAAAAAGGTGTAACCCGCATTAAACTATGGTTTAAATGAGTACACAAATACATAACTGCAATAATTCACGATATTATAATAAAAACGATAATAAATCATATTTCATAGTTCATAAATAGGTTCAAACATATACATTTCATTAAGAGATTATAGGGAAATTAAAAATATATAGAAAAATAAAAAAAATGGTAAAGCAACAAATAAAAACAATAACTTTTCCATTATCTTTTAATAATTTACATCCATCCGTTAAACTTTTTTCACTAATGCATTTTTAAATTACACTTTGATTTATATATATATAATTTCGTTTAATTAATGTCTTTCTCTTTTGTTTATTATGCCAATGTAAATCACATTATCATTGTGCATGAAACAATCTCGCCGTCCCTAATTAAAAACAATACAGCGCCATCTAGTGTTCACTTCAAATACAAACAAACGCGCCACTGCTGTTATCATAATAACGTGACCTCCTCTCTAACAAAATATACACTTTACGGTGTTTAACAGAGCTCATAATCAAAATACTCTAATGAAACCCATAACACTTACACGTTTAACCCTGTTTACATGGTAGAATCACGGCGTTTCGAGCTCAGTAAAGCGGAACTGATGCGCGTCGTTTTTGTTTCCGCCGGACACAGAGAGCGCTGAACTTACAAAACATAAACACAACAGATTTTCACCACCATGCTTGTTCATTACAGCGGGGTTCTGCTGTAAACGAAGCCGCTATGAGGGTTGCTAACAGGCTGTTCAGCAGTGAATGGAGGAGGTTTTTGAGCAGGGATGTGTCCTCATACACACAAGGACAGAGTCCCGAGGCGAGAATCAGAGAGTATTTCTACTATATCGACCATCAAGGACAGGTGCACCACTGAGAAGATGGCTGTAATGTTGTTTACTTCATATAATTCCCATAATCATGATTTATTCCTCTCTTTTTAAAGCTGTTTCTGGATGACACCAAGGTGAAAAACTTTGTCACCTGTTTCAAAGGTATTTCTGGGGTTTTGAAATACAAATAATTTCAAATACTTGCACACATGCATAATGCATATATCCAATACTATGTTGTGCAATGGTCTTATGGAACATGCATATGTCATTTGATTCAGATAAACCTCTTTAGCCTGGCTTCTTACACAGTCATTATGTACAGTACAATAATGCTATTTTCTTCTTCTGTACTTAACATTGTCCTTATAAAGAAGTACTGTGACTGTAACATGGTATGATGATGATAATATATCACAGTACGGTATGCTTACCATATTGCTAACCCACGGCAAGGTTTCAAAAATGGTGGTTTGTGAGATGAAAAGCTAATAATTAAAGATAAAATAAATAAAAATTAATTTGTAATTTTAATTATTCGAAAATAAAACATGTGCATGATTTCCAGCTTTGTTGTTAACAAACGTTTACAGCATTTCTCTAGTTTTTACCCAAAATAAAAGCTTCTGAATTTAAATGTTTGGAAGCATAAATATTAGCATTATAAATTGTGTTGCAAAGTAAAATTATTATTCAAATATCAAATATTCATTTTTTTATATTTTACAGTACAATTGTAATTTTCAACTTATACTTTTGTTCATTTTAATAGTTAAAACAATAATACTAACAATTGCATTATTAGCATCATTAATAATATGAGAACTGTGAACGTGAATTTGTTATTAAAATATTGAAATATAAGGTCAGTGTTAGTTTATTATCATTGACATAAGATATGAGGTTTTTATTAATTCTTTAAACCGTTTTAAACTTGAAATAAAAAAATAACAGTATTTAAATTTTAAAGTTAAAGTTGTAGTAATTTTGCGGTGTTTTTGTCTTTTATACATACACACACACACACACATATATCATACTTTTTTTTCATATATTATACATTTATTTTAGTACATCAGCTGGCTTATTAACTTTATAAACTTTAAAAACTTTTATATAAACTTTATTTTATTTCAGCTCATGTTTATTTTAAAAGTGTTTTTTTAATTGTTTTAATTGTAGTTTTAGTAAACTGCAATAACCCAGCTTTAAGTAAATATTTTACATCTGAAGGGTTTGGCTGACAAAAAAAAAAGTTTAGAAACCGCCATTATTTACATAATGTTTGAAATGCATTTAATTGTGGATTTTTCCCATTCATTTTCTCACTATAGGCGTGCTAAATGGCATTAGGCATTATTAAAGACTAAAGAGTTTGAACCAAATCAACCAGCTCTTAAGATTAACTGGCACCATTACAATATAAAAAAAAAACCTCAAAAGCCACTTGCTTATTGTTATTGTCTTTTTTTCTTGTTAGACCAGCACTTCTTAGTGTTCTTCTTCAACCGTCTGAAGGTCAATCAGAGCAGCCGATATGAACAGGACTTCCCCTTCCTCTCGCTCTGCGGACGCGAGCGTAACTTCCTGCGATGTGAAGACCGGCCCGTGGTTTTCACACACCTGGTATCGGAGGCGGGGCACGAGGAGCGTCTGTCATACTGTGGAGGCGGAGCCAAACTGACCGCTCCGTTCCGCCCAGAATCTCTCTTCATGCACCCAGTCAGCGGTAGAGTGTACCATCCCGGACCGGAGCGGGGGGGAGGCGTGGGGTTGGTACGGTCAGCGCTGGCCATTGAGCTGAGCACTCACTTTGAGTACGCCACGGGTCAGGAGAGCACGGGACAGCCCACTCATTTCATATGGGCGGGGCATCCACACACTCTAACCAATGAGCTGGCCAAACATTTTCCTGTTTAAAAAGATGAATGTGTGACGCTACAGTGATTCAGTCAACCAACAGATAGGTTATCATCATTAAAATCCTGCTGAAATTAATGTGTATTTAGGTATAACGTATATTCTGAACATACTGCTGAAATAAATGTATATATTGGGTCTTATTAATATTAAAAATAATTTACTCATCCTCGTTTTTTCCCATATCCATGCTACTTTCTTCTGCAGAGAACAAACAGGTGTTAAGCAGGTCCTCTCTTAAACACGGCAGTGTTTAAAATATTTAAAATTTAGTGAATCAAGCTACAAACTCGGTCATAAAGCACAATGTTTCCATCTAACATGCATTTTGAGCTGCAGCTCGTCATATTAATGGAGTGTTTCACTAGTTAGCAGTAAACCGGTAACCTCACCTAAACATTTGTGTTGGATGTTGTCTTTGGAGATAAGGATTTTATTTGTAAACATAATACCTTTTTGCTTATTTCAGTGAATGTCATAAAACTAGCGAGGAAAGTCAGTAGTAGTAGTAGTACTGACAGTGTTGTATAAACATGGCTTAAGATGAGAAAACCGGGGGAACAGACAAACTGATTCAATTGAGTGAGTCATCTACGCTGGAACCGCTCCGGTTGATTCAATCATTCAAGCGAGTCACTAGCAACAACAACAACAAAAAAAGATCAAAGGAGCCATTCATTTTCGAGTTTCGACATCGCTTGTAATGATTTTAAAAAGTACGCTTGGTGAGGGGTAAAATGGAGCTTTTCGAAAACTCAGAATGAGTTAAACTATTGCGTCGCAAAATGATTCAGTTTCAAAGCACTCCAGTCAGATTCAGATCGGGACTTCACATCATCTATCGTGAATAATTTGATTTAGATCAGAACTTCGGAGAGTGTATCGCAAATCATTTGATTCAAATTGGCACTTCGGAGCGTGTATCGCAAATCATTTGATTTAGATCAGAACTTCATATCACAAATCATTTGACTCAGATCGGCACTTCGGAGTGTGTATCGCAAATCATTTGATTCAGATCGGCACTTCGGAGTGTGTTTGATTTAGATCGGAACTTCGCAAATCATTTGATTTAGATCGGAACTTCGCAAATCATTTGATT